TTTTGGGGTGTCTGTGAACTTATTATGATTTTATGCAGCCTCTCTGCTAATGGGTGGGGTTTGTTGCTGTCTTGCTAGTTGTTTCTCATAGGGTGTCCAGCACTGTAGCTTGCTGGTCATTGAGTGGAACTGGATTTTAGCATTGAGAAGGAGATCTCTGGGAGAGCTTTCGCTGTTTGATATTACATGGAGCCAGGAGGTCTCTGGTGGACCAATGTCCTGAACTCTGCTCTCCCACCTCAGAGGCACAGGCTTGACACCCAGCCAGAGCACCAAGACCCTGTCAGCCAAACGGCTCAGAAGAAAAGGGAGAGAAAGAAAGAAAGAAAGAAAGAAAGAAAGAAAGAAAGAAAGAAAGAGAAAGAGAAAGAAAGGAAAGAAAAGAAAGAAAGAAGTAGAAGAAAGAAAAATAAATATAAAATAAAAAATCAAAAAATTATTAAAAATTAAAAAGTAATTTAAAAAAAGAAAGAAAGAAGAGAGCAACCAAACCAAAAAACAAATCCACCAATGATAACAAGTGCTAAAAATTATACTAAAAAAAACAAAAAAACGGACAGACGGAACCCTAGGACAAATGGTAAAAGCAAAGCTATACAGACAAACTCTCACAAAGAAGCGTACACGTACACACTCACAAAAAGAAAAAGGAAATATATATATATTTATATTTTTTAAAAAAAGAGAGCAACCTACTCAATAAACAAATCTGCCAATGATAATAAACTCTAAATACTAAACTAAGATAAACATAAAACCAGAAACAAATTAGATTCAGGAAGCAAGCCCTAAGTCTACATTTGCTCCCAATATCTACCACCTCAAGTTTGGGATGATTCGTTGTCTATTCAGGTATTCCACAGATGCAGGGTACATCAAGTTGATAGTGGAGATTTAATCCACTGCTCCTGAGGCTGCTGGGAGAAATTTCCCTTTCTCTTCTTGTTCACACAGCTCCTGGGGTTCAGCTTTGGAGTTGGCCCTGCCTTTGCATGTAGGTTGCCTGAGGGTGTCTGTTCTTTGCTCAGACAGGATGGGGTTAAAGTAGCAGCTGATTCAGGGGCTCTGGCTCACTTAGGCCAGGGGGAGGGAGGGGTACGGAATGCGGGGCGAGCCTGCGGCGGCTGAGGCTAACGTGACATTGCAGCAGCCTGAGGCGCGCCGTGTGTTCTCCCGGGGAAGTTGTCCCTGGATCACGGGACCCTGGCAGTGGTGGGCTGCACAGGCTCCCAGGCAGGGAGGTGTGGATAGTGACCTGTGCTTACACACAGGCTCCTTGGTGGCGGCAGCAGCAGCCTTAGCATCTCATGCCCGTCTCTGGTGTCCGCGCTGATAGCCCGGCTCACGCCCATCTCTGGAGCTTGTTTAGGTGGTGCTCTGAATCCCATCTCCTCACGCACCCGGAAACAATGGTCCCTCGCCTCTTAGGCAGCTCCAGACTTTTTCCCGGACTCCCTCCCGGCTAGCTATGGCGCACTAGCCCCCTTCAGGCTGTGTTCACGCCGCCAACCCCAGTCCTCTACCTGGGATCTGACCTCCGAAGCCCAAGCCTCAACTCCCAGCCCCCACCCGCCCTGGCGGGTGAGCAGACAAGCCTCTCGGCTGGCGAGTGCTGATCTGCAGTGAGCCTCTCTGCAGGAATCTCTCCACTTTGCCCTCTGCACCCTTGTTGCTGTGCTCTCTTCTGTGGCTCTGAAGCTCCCCCCACCCCCCGCCAACCCCCATCTCTGCCAGTGAAGGGGCTTCCTAGTGTGTGGAAACCTTTCCCCCTTCACAGCTCCCTCCCACTGGTGCAGGTCCCGTCCCTATCCTTTTGTCTGTTTTTTCTTTTTTCTTTTGCCCTACCCACGTACGTGGGGGAGTTTCTTGCCTTTTGGGAGGTCTGAGGTCTTCTGCCAGCGTTCAGTAGGTGTTCTGTAGGAGTTGTTCCACATGTAGATGTATTTCTGATGTATTTGTGGGGAGGAAGGTGATCTCCAAGTCTTACTCCTCCGCCATATTGAACATCTCCTGTGATGGTCTTTTAGGGAGCGATGGTTCCCAGTTCTAATGAAGTAGGGATGTCTGGAGAGAGTCAGGGTCCTGGGAGCACTTCTTGTTCTTTGGATCTGGAAAGTGGTCTACCCTAGAGCACGTGGGGCCTCGTTCAGATTTAGGGGTATTTGGTGCAGAGTTGTTTCCTTTCTAGGCTATAGTGTCACATGTGATGGGGTAGTTAAGGGAGGTTTGTGGGCCTCCCTTAAATCCCATAGTAGGCCACACTGTATCTGGAAGAAAGGCATCTTATCAAGAGCCAGAGAGCCAGTAAAACATCTCCATGTGGTAAAGTATGTTAGACTTTTCCTGTGTGCTTATGTTACTGAACCAAACTTGGGTCTGCTTGCCCAAGCACAGTAAAGCCAATCTACTAACACTGGGTTGTGGTAAAGGAAAGTGCAGCATTTATTGCAGGGCACCAAGCAAGGGTCCAGGGCAGCTAGTGCTTAAAAGACCTGAACTCCCCAAAGGCTTTCAGGGAAAGGTTTTTAAAGACAAGGTGAAGAAGGGGGTTATGGGATGTGTGATCAGCTCATGGACTTTCTTCTGATTGGCTGATGGTGAGGTAATTGGCATTCAGCATCGTGAACATTCTGGTTCCAGCCGGTCTGAGGGTCTAGGTGTTTGTGGGCAGCATGCAGTTAACTTCTTCCACCTGGCGGGGGTTTCAGTATCTGCAAAACAGCTCAAAGGACATGGCTCAGAATATTATCTATAGCCCTTAAGGGGGAACTAAAGGTCCTTGACTTTTTTTAATGCCTAAACTATTATTATTGGGTCTTGTTTGACTGTTTTCCTTTCTTTCTGGATTTTCTCCCTTCTTTTTTAAAATATTTTTTAAAATTTTATTTTAGGGGCCTCCCTGGTGGTGCAGTGGTTGAGAGTCCGCCTGCTCATGCAGGGGACACGGGTTCGTGCCCTGGTCCGGGAGGATCCCGCATGCCGCGGAGCAGCTGGGCCCGTGAGCCGTGGCCGCTGAGCCTGTGCATCCGGAGCCTGTGCTCCGCAACGGGAGAGGCCACAACAGTGAGAGGCCCGCGTACCGCAAAAAAAAAAAAAATTTATTTTTTATTTTTTTGGCTGTGCTGTGTGGCTGCATTTTCTCACTTCTATGATTAAATTTATTCTTTGACTAAAATTTTTCTATAGACAAAAGACAGGCAGGGGACATGTCGGGTGGTGGAGTTTTGTTCTGGGAAGGCCCCATAGGGTCCTGCTTGGTGTTTACAATTTCTGAGTATGATGTCTAGCTTAAAGAGCCTTCTCCCTCCCCAAGACTCTATAGATTCTTACATTTCTTCTAACAATTTTCAGTTTTTATATTTAGCCTTTAATTCCTCTGAAATTTTATTGCTATATGTTTGCATAGTAGGGATCTTTTTTCTTCATTGCAGTTTTTCCATATCATTTATTAGTTAGTTTATCCTGTATATGAATGGATGTCGATCTGTTTTCCTATCTCTGCAACATTATCACATGGTTTACATGCTGTATCTTTAGAGGACATTTTGATATTGTATGACAAAGGCCTGCTTCTTTTTCAAAAAAAAAAAATTGGCTCTTCTTACTTATCTCTTCTTCTAGATGAATTCTAGAATCAAACATGTCAAATAACATAAATAATTCTGCTAGGATATTGATCTGTATTGAATCAAATTGATAAATTTTTTTAAGGAAGAATTAGCATTTTTACAATATGTACTCTTTCCATTCAGGAACACTATACAATTTGTGTTCTAAATCATAAATCTTCAATCCTGAATTCCATTCACCCACCCATGCTAATTTGCTTTGCCAGTAACAATCTTTTTGCATCTTTTCTACTTTTTTGTGGACCCCTTGGCATCTCCCTTTTCACAGCCATGTGTTTTCAGATAACTCTAAGGGGCAGTGAATACACAGGGAATGGAGAGTTTGAGGATAGTAAAACATCACACTCAAATTTTCTAACTACTGGGAGTTTTTGTTCTTTTCTTAAATATATCTTGTTAAATTGAAATATTTCTTCTCTTAAGAGCTCCAGAAAAGATTTGGAAAGTTTTGCTTTAGACCCTGAAGATGTCCACATCAATAGTTTCTCTATAATCAGATAGTTATAATACAAAGCCATATGAAATTAAATGCCAAACATCATTGCAAATCAACATACAGCTGGAAAAGCACTCTACATAACTCAATATATTTTTCAGGAAACCAAAATCTTCAGCAATATCCATCTCCTAAAATGAGGATGTTCATAAAGAAGAAAATCATTTTTATTCAGCCAAATTATTTATTCCACCGACCAAGGCTAATCACGGCATGTGATTAATAATATTCACTTAAAATTGCATCCTGGGAAGTGTTTTCACTTAGGTTTAATGAAAAACACTTGGAAGCAATTGAATGCTGTGGAGACGTGGTTAGTTATTATCCTTGTTTATGAATTAGCATGATTTTAAAGAGTAGTTGATGCTGAAGGCTAAAGTTTTTATTTCTTTTTCATAACAATATTCCACCCAAACTGAAACAGAGAGATTGAAAAGTGTAAGAGGGCATTTAGCCTGCAAAAGGAGCCAGAAGCTAGAGATTTGGAATCAGAGGTGGTGGGACTGGATAGTCTGATGAAAACCGTGGAGCCCAGAAGGTGGTGATAGAGGCTCTTCTCTCCCCTCCCTGTGCAGGCATCTCAATTTGTCCAGTTTCTTAACCCAATGTTAGGGTAAACCTAATTTCAATTATCTATGGTCTCCTTGTTCTCATGGAAACAAGAATAGGAGGAGACAGGGTAGCATAGAAGGAATGAAAACTTGTGTATAAATCTGAGCCCTTGGGTAGGACTTTGATTTCCCAAGTCACTGAAGACTCCTATTCATAAAGAACATGTATGTTTCGATAGCCTCTGTAAGGATGGTTAGGATTTTTTTGGGGGGTGGATGATAAATTTTTTTTAATTAATTTATTTTTATTTTTGGCTGCATTAGGTCTTCATTGCTGCGCACGGGCTTTCTCTAGTTGCGGTGAGTAGGGGCTATTCTTTGTTGCGGTGCATGGGCTTGCCATTGCGGTGGCTTCTCTTATTGCGGAGCACGGGCTCTAGGTGCCAGGCTTCAGTAGTTGTGGCTCGCGGGTTCTAGAGCGCAGGCTCAGTAATTGTGGCACATGGGCTTAGTAGCTCCACGGTATATGGGATCTTACCCGACGAGGGGTCAAACCCGTGTCCCCTGAATTGGCAGGCGGATTCTTAACCACTGTGCCACCAGGGAAGTCCCTAAAATTTTAATCATCAATAGTTTCAGCTTAATAGTAAGGTTTTTGGCAGATTTTGGTACAGCTAATTAGTTCAAAGGGAGCTTATTGAAAGGCTTAAACTACTAATGACTGTCATACACAGCAAAAATTTAAAAAGTGTTTTCAAGCAGAGCACATAGAGAACTGAGATGTTACAAGAAGGAGCTGGAAGACTAAAGGTGCCTTTGGTTATGTTAATGAGGTGACCTTTGGAAAGTGCCCAAGGATGCTGGAATGTAGCCAGAAGAACCAAACAGGTGATTAGAGGGTTGGAACTTTCAGCTCCACCCCCTGACCTCAGAGGAGGGGAGAGGGCCCTGGAAACTGAATCAATTGGCAATGGTCAATGATTTAAGCAATCATGCCTGTATAATAAAGCCTCCAGAAAAACCCAAAGGAGAGCTTCCAGGTTGGTGAATGCATGGAGGAACGGAGAGAATGGTTTGCCTGGCGAGAGCATGGTAGCTCTGTTTCTGAATTAAGTCATTAAGTCATATGGACCCTGCTTGGGCCCTAGCCCCTCTGTCTTGGTGGGGGGAGGGGTTTTTTTCCATTCGGGTGGGGTTCGGGCAGCCTAATAACGAAACTGAATCTGACATTGACAGAGCACAAGCTTTATTCAGTGGCCAAAGAATGGAGAAGAAGGAACTAAGTTCACAGATCTACTTCTCACCCATGTGGCTAAAGGACTTAATTTTAAAGAGTAAAGACAAAGGGAGGAGGAGTGGGGCTATTGATGGGGAGGCATACGTATTAGTCGACCAGGGAAGGGGCAGGGCTTTTTCCAAGGGAGTGGGGTGCCACCCCCTTTTTATCCTTTTTTGGTCCTGAATGTCTGGTCGTAGCCACTGGTAGGTGTGTCATATAATACACTAATGTAGTAAAAGCAGCATATAATGAGACTCAGGGTCGGTTGGAGGTCAGATTTGTGGCCACCTTGGTCCCAGCTGGTTCCATCTGTTTTTTGTTTGTTTGTTTGTAGCTTCCTTTCTTATCTCTGGACCCTTTAACTTAAAGACTTATGTTAACTCCTGCTAAGGGGCCTGGGGGTGGGGAGGTGTTGGCAGTTTGAGCAAAGACCTGGAGCAACTCTGGCAACAGCTCCATGCTCTTTCCCCATACCTTGCTCTATTCATCTCTCCCATCTGGCTGTTTCTAAGTTTTGTATACATTCTTTCATAAAAAAAACCCCCAGTAATCTAGTAAGTAAAATGTTTCTCTGAGTTCTGTGAGCTGCTCTAGCAAAATAACTGACCCAAGGAAGGGGTTGTTGGAAGCTCTAATCTATAGCTGGTTGGTCAGGAGCACAGGTGATAATCTGGATTTGCAATTGGCATCTGCAGTTGAGCGGGGAGGGGCAGTTTGGTAGGACTAAGCCTGTGGAATCTGATGCTATCTCCAGGCAGATAGTGTCAGAATTGTGTTGAACTGTAGGACATCCAGCTGGTGTCTGAGAATTACTTTTGACGTGGACCCTCCACCACAGTGGAATTGGATAAGAATCTTTAAGCACTTAGAACAGTATTGTCACAAAGAAGCTCTCAACAGACCCTGGCTATTACGGCAGAGATAATTAGTGCTCAGAGCTTATTTATTTGTTCCATTGCATTTCCCAGCCTCCCCTGCAGTTAGTTTAAGGCCAGGTGCCTAATTATAGTCAATGAACTGGAGCAGAAGGACTGAGGCAGGTAAAAGCCAATGAGCCTTTGAGATCTCTCCTTCCCTGATGAACAGAACTTGGAGACCATGAGTTCCCATCGGTAGAGCACCAAGATGGAGCACCACCCCTGCTACATCAGGGTGCAATGAGGGTGACAAATTGTTGTGTTACATTACTGAGATTTCAAGGTTAACTCATCACCTTAAGATGTCTTCACTAGGTAAGGAAGACATACAATTTTACTATTAGAGTTTCTTTGCAAGTATTAATTCTAGATAATGACTAAGAAAATGAGTAACTGACTTCTAGTTCTTCATAAGCAGAATTTAATCCCCTTGAGGGTAAGGCCTTTATCTATCTTATTTACCATTGAAACCCCAGTGCATAGAGTAGTGCTTGCTTGGCACATAATTAAGTGCTAAATATATCTCTTCTGTGCAGGTACTGTGCCTTTTCAATATGCATAGCACTCTTCATACATTGTATAGTGCTCAAGAAATTCAAACCATGGTCTTTACCCTCAAGGAGTATATAATCCAAGTGAGGAGACAAATATACCTTTTCTTCCCTTGCCTCCTTCCCCCCTCACCCCCCAGGTACACAAACCAATGACATTGCTGCTTCAACTAAAGACACTATATTTAAACGCTAATTTATGCCATAGATGGAAGGTGTTCCATCTGTAATAGAGAAAGAGAGACCAGGTGAGTGAAAGAGAGAGGTTAGTGACATAGCTAGAGGAAAGACCCAGGATTCTGGATATGAGACTACAAATGTTGATGAGACAGAGCCAGGCTAGAAGAAAAATAAGGGTGGAGAGGACAAAGAAAAAAATTGGATGGTGGATGTCATGATAGGCCACCCAGACACCCCCCACTTCGGGACTTAAGCACTCACTCATTCCTCCAGCCGCTGGGACGGTTGACTGCTGAAGACCCCTCCGGAAACAGCCCTCAGCTGAAGAAAGCCATCTGGGTCAAGGTCTCACCCTCTTTCCAGGGACAACCCATATCCAATGATCAATTGATGCCAAGATGCAAAGGCTGGGCCTCTTGCCTCATTGAAGGGTCCCAGCTCCAAGCATCCTGTGGGGTTATAGAGGCCTCTGTTGTGACCTTATCACAGCCTGACGTTTGTCCTTGCCCAGGCCTGCTCTCCTTACTTCCCTGCAGGTATCACTTACGAAAGTAGGCCCCATACTTCCTGCATGCAGATCTCCACCTCAAAAATCTTCTCAGGGACAGGCAGCAAGTCATGAAGCATCACACAAGCCAGGAAGAGCTTAGACTTGTTGGAGTTGAGAACACAGTCACCAATGACTTCTGAGGAGGGGAACGAGAGTCTAGGAAGGATTCGGCTGGTGATGGGATGGAGGGTAGGTGGAGGCAAAGATCCTTCATTTGCAAAGGCAAAAATCACTTTGACAAAGTCTGCTCCACACTCTATGAAGCCCTTCAGTGAAATTCCATTGTCTAGACCCCAGAATATTTTCCCAGAATGTGTCTAGAATTTCAAAGTTCACTCAGGACTCTGAGCTACATGTCTGATGAAAAGAAGGGAGTGAAATTCCTTCCTTGGCTCTGCTTCAAGCAGGATCACTTGACTAGAGATGAGTGTGAGAAGTAGCCAGAGTTAAAGGTGAATGCTCCGTTTCTTGAAGAAAATGTCAGCATTTTGTGACCTTTCTCAACATAGAATTGGGATTGTGAGGGAGTGAACAATTGAAGGGAAGACAGCATCCTTATGGGGAGAGCTGACTACAGCTGCTCGTTCTTACCACTCAGATCTTAGTGTTCCACAGTAGCACTGGCCATAGAATAAAACACCAGCTGATAGGAATATTCAGTCAGGAGAGAGAGAGAAGCCAGGGGCGGACAGCCAAGACGAGCTAAGTCGACCTAAGAAGCTGTGGAAAATAGAGATCAATGAATATTGTTGATTGTTTGATGTGGTAACGTTTTCAGGTACGATTTACATAACATTGAGGATCCTTTCTCTACATTAATTAAAAGACATTTTCTCTCTTCCCAACTTTGTTTTCATCTCTTACCTGTTGCTTTAAAGATGTTTGTAATGGCAGCGGGAGTACCAGAGCATCAGGTCTTAGACAGTGATGGCTACAAGAATGATGCTCATTTCACAAAAACTACGTGTAGATCTAATAAATGGTATCAATGGAGTCTTGGAAAACTATTATTTTGATTGGAGCAGTTTTAGAAGTGTTGATTGAATATTTAAATAAGAACTTGGGGAAAAAAGTTAGCCATCCTAATGTTTTTATAATGGGGCCATTAGCTCAAGTGAGCTTGGCATGCTGTCCTACTGATCGTAGGTGGAGGGAGCCGATGTCGTAAGGTGTAAATGTGGGATCTATGGATTCAAAAAAAAGAACAAAGATGGGACATCCTGAGGCAGGACGTGTGCAATGAGTGTTTTTCTTTTTTAATTAATTAATTTATTTAATTATTTTTGGCTGTGTTGGGTCTTCGTTTCTGTGCAAGGGCTTTCTCTAGTTGCGGCCAGTGGGGGCCACTCTTCATCGCGGTGCGCTGACCTCTTCACTATCGCGGCCTCTCGTTGTGGAGCACAGGCTCCAGACGTGCAGGCTCAGTAGTTGTGGCTCGCGGGCCTAGTTGCTCCATGGCATGTGGGATCTTCCCAGACCAGGGCTCGAACCTGTGTCCCCTGCACTGGCAGGCAGATTCTCAACCACTGTGCCACCAGGGAAGCCCCAATGAGTGGTTTTGACACTAATGAGCCCAGTAAAATGGGAATTACCTGCTTTCTAACCTTATTCAACAAACATTTCTTAATCCTTTACCTGTACCAAGCACTTCATGGGAGTGTATTTGGCAAACTGATGAAAAATCAGAATTAGTAAGGCCTTCTGAAGTCAGAAAAATGAGGGAAAAGGTAGAAGGGACAAAGGGTTTGAGAAAGGACTGAAAGTTGGAATTAGGCAAATGAGGAGAGCTGAGTCTGGACGGAGTGGTCACTGTGCGAAGCAATTGCTCTGTCAGATTCCCTTGTGAGTCCGTGGGGTCACCAGCTGGATCGGGCGATCCTGCAACTCCTGGGAGCAGAGGCATCTGTGGCACGTGGGACTTTGGCTAGTTCCTTAATCTCTCCGTCCCCCGGTTCCTCATCTGTACAATGAAATTAATAACAGGACCTCAGGGGATTGTTGCTAGAAGTTAATAAAGTAATTCATCTGGAGTGCTTCGCACAGTGCCTTGCACTCTGTCATGGTGCTCAAATAGGTTTACATGTGCTGTATGACAGTGGACACACTGTGTATGGGCGAAGAGATCACTGGAGAAATGGAAAGGGCACCAGTCCCTGGGATGTAGTCCTTTCAAATGTCTTCCCTCCCTGCATTCCCTAGGGGTTAAAAATAGAAAAATCACCCAGCATAGCAGCATGGGAAACAAAGACGGGATACATTCTCTTTGGAGTCATTCATCTCACCACAGACATCCAGAGAGACATGCAATTTCTTTTCTCTTAAGTTTATAGCTTATGGAGTGTCTTAGCTTCTGATGGACTGCAGGTACCTTCTGGTGAGACTTAAGCAATTTTCTCAATTTTTGCTTAATAAGAATAATTCACTCTATGTGCTAAGTCTGCATAAATAGTTTCTGACAGATGAAACAGTTTATAAATCCTCAAGAGTTTTTTATTATCCTTGAAAAAACCTTTACACTTACTGTGTACCCTGAGGGCCTGTTGTATGGAAAGGTCTCTCACGCTAAAGAACAAAGGCAGGCGATGTTTTCTTAAAAAACAGGCATATTGTCCTGCTTGACTAAGGCTCCCTCTGGCTCCAAACCTTGAAAATCCTGTTCGTTTTTAATATAAGTGCTCTAGCAAGGATAGGAATAAGCCAGATTCAGAGGATTTCCATGTCAGCAGTGCCGGATCTTTGCATGACAGGTGGCAAATGGCTTTTCTTCTTTTTCTTTCACCCTTGAAACCTCTGGCATATCTGAACTCTTGTTCTTGTGTCTTTTCTGGCCTTTGAGGATAACAATGCAGCTGTGTGTTAAGCGAAGGTAAAACAGCCTTTAAAGGGTTATTCTGGTTTTCATAGGCTCCACATAAGAGTAAGATAAAGAGAAGTGATCTAACGTGCCCCAAATCACAATATATTCTGACAGGAGAGCAGAATAGCTTATTTGGAGTTTTTCCTCATCCCTGTTTTCACTCCCATCTGACACAGCAAAGCCAGTTGATAGAAGGGGTGCTCGCCTCCTGCCCTCTCTTCTTAGCTGAACACTTCGCTTTCTAGCTCTTCAGTCATCTTATTCCATCTTCTGACATCAGCATGTGTAAGCCATGTAGAGGGCTGGAGGATATCTTTGTGTGTATCTTTGTGCCCATCCCTGGGTATCAATTAATTTATTAAAGGCCCTAGGGAAAAACTTTTCAGAGACGTGGTGTTGGGTGACAGTTCTCCATGAGCCTCTCATGTTTCTGCACATCTTGCAACAGAGATACCATCTGTCCTTTCTTCTGGGCTATCTTTCTAAGGATGTGTATAGAGTGGGCAGCCTTGGGAAATAGAGCATCTCCCTCTAGAGCAAAGTACAGGCGTGTTCCCTCCCCATCATAAAAGATTCAGGTTCCCTGAGCTCAGGGTTCCCCTCCCGTGGCATAACCCACTGCATGTACGGGTTTAGTGTGGCTTTCCTCCCAGGGCCCTGGGGTTCAGTGACTAGCGTAGAAATGTTACTGCTCTTGCTGTGTGTAATGAACTGTTCTGTGTCTCTGATCCAGGGGTCCTGTGTCATCTGCCGGCCTCCATGAAACTGTGGCAAGCTAAATTGTTGGTATGTACGTTAAAATCTCAGACGCATCTCAGTTCTTGACACATAGTTCCAAATTTAAAACGATCCTGAGAGATTTACTGATGTACAAAACCCCTGATGAGGATTCCTTTTCTAAAAATTAATTAATTAATTAATTTTAATTTTTTATACAGTTTTAAAGGTTACTTTCCATTTACAGTTATTACAAAATATTGTCTATACTCCCTGTGTTGTGTAATACATCCTTGGGCTTATCTTACACCCAATAGTTTGTACCTCCCACTTCCGCATCCCCATGGTGCCCCTTTCCCCCTCCCCACTGGTAACCACTGGTTTGTTCTCTATATCTATGAGTCTGCTTCTTTTTGTTATATTTGCTAGTTTGTTGTATTTTTTAGATCCCACATGTAAGTGATGTCATACAGTATTCTGACAAGTATTCTTAGCGTGTTGACCACTGTGACACTACACCAAACCGCTCAGCATGTCCCACTGCTTCCTCAAATTCTCAGAAACTCATGCTTTGTGTGTGTAACAATAGCTTCACTCAATCACCGTTCTTGGATCATTATTTTGGAAACTTCTTAAAAATTGGCAAAAAAAGCATTTAACTCTCAGACCACTTTCTAAATATTATCAGATCTTTGATCTATGCACTGAGGATTGAGTTCCTGTAAATGGCTTGGACAAGTTGTGACTGGCAAAAACACAAAGGCTGTCTCTGTTCCCACTGTATAGATTGGCTCAGTCATTCAGACCCATTCATTTATTCAAATAAATTTATGCATTAACTTAAAAATATATTTCACAGAGTCAAGTAAGACAGGCACATTCCTGCCTTCTTGGAACTTGTAGGTTAATGGGAAATAAAATATTAACATAAAATTATTTAATATATCGTAAATACTAGAAATGAAATGACTACTGTGAAGTACTATGAAGCATGATAAAGGATTTAATAGGGATTTTTTTTATTCTCTCAAATTTCAAATGTAGCATAGACTGGCAAATAACTCTGCTACCAAAGTACAAAACTTTTTGAACCGTTGAGATCTTTTTCCCTTCCTTTTTTTTTTGCATTGGATCTTTGAGATAAACAAGAAATAAGAACTAAAATTTGTATGTTCTTTAAAATTTTACCCAAATAAAGTAACATTTCCCCCTGGATAAAGTGGATTTGGGGGAGGTTCCACGATTTCTTTTAAGAAAGAAGATGTTGCTCTATTGACAATCTTTAAGAATAAGTGGAAATTTGCTGGCCATTATGTAGAAGTTAGAAGCTGAAGGGAGCATGAGACTAAAAGAGGAACATATCACTTCTCAAACGAATGAGGTAGACCTAAGACCCGAAAAAATTTTTTCACCTGTCCCAGCAATGTTTGATAACTATGTTAGGTGACTATAGCCTGTGATGATAAGCACCTAATCTGTTAAATTTTAAAATAAGTCTTTTGAAATTATGAGAAGGGAGACACACATAAAAACAGTTGTTATTTATAAACATTTCCAATTAAAATTTCAGAAAAGCAGAAACTTGTAAAATTTTCTAGGCAGCTCTCACCTTCATTCAATTCACAGGCTGATTTGAGCAGAAAAACTGCAGAATGGCAGGATCACCCAGTATTCTGGAGCTGTATGGAATAGTCTGTATCATATCTGTCTGTCTGTCTCTCTCTCTACATGCATGTGATTTATATTTATCTCCCCAGTTTTCTGAATAATTCAAACATTGTGTTTTAATTTGTGAATTATTCCAAATAATGCAGATAATTGATTAAAATCTGTACTTCTGACTAGCGTTGGCAAGGTTTAATCATAAAACCCAAGATATAAAAGCTATTTTTAAATGGGAATGAAGAAAGCATGTGATAGGGATTTGACTGAGGAACGGTTAAAAAAAGAAGGTATTATTCTGTTCATATAGATTAAAGGAATGTAATCCCATTGAAATTCTTCTTTTAGGGTGGTGCCAGAAGGAATTTATTTTTCTTTGTAGTAATACTAGGACTTGAAATAACTTATCTACTAATTAGTTACCTCATGGGAAGGAAAAAGCTCATTTGTGTTTGCATTACTGAACATGAAGGCAAAGAAGCCAAGATGTTGTAGACCAGTTCTCTTTATCTGTCAGCAATGGCAGATGTTTATCTCTGTTTTTCCTGAATGCTGCATGAATATCTGGATGAGGCTGAGTTTCTGCCTAAGCAGGCAGAGCTGATCCTTGCATCCAGCAAACCACATTGCTCCAGCTATTGCTTCTGGCTTGGTAACCCTCATTACACTACCCAGCTCATTTTAGAAGGGATTGTTCAATATGATTGTCCCTTGCTCCTAAAAGCAATTACATTACAAGCTGGTGTAAGATTTCTGGTTTCCTTTCAGAGCATTGGTAGGTGAGTGTGTTTTCTCCAATTCTATTGGTAGCACAAATGCCCTCTCATTCAACGTTTCCATTTTATGAGACCTTCAACCCTGCCATCAAAGTCAAATAAAAGTTCAAAGCCTACAACCCTTTCTTTCATTTCTTCATCCCTTTGAGGGAGGGACTCTTGGGATGAGGTACGGATGGGGGTAAAATGACTTTTTGTGTAAGAAGCAGGACTTCATTATATTGCCTGTGTTTGGAAATATCCATGTGGAGCTCAATTTATTTCTTCACATCTGACACTGACAGTTTCTGGCACATAATAGTAAAATTCTAGTGTTTCCTAAAAGATTCTTGGTAACTGGTTCTATTTTATCTGAATTATAGCTTATAAAATAATGTAAGCAACTAACTCATATCATATTAATAAAGGAAATTCTCCTGCTAGATCCAAGTCAGTATTACAAGTCTAAACAGAAGACAATTGTATTGGGTTTATAATGGAATTCTTAGTTCTATCTACTTCTATGAGAGTGGATCTCAGTGATGCTGCCTGGAGAATTTTGTATAGTGTAAGCCATTTCCATTTAATGACCATCGAAACTGAGGCAAATATTTTCTTCTTTAGGACGTTATCTTTCAAAATTTCCACTGACAATTTGAAGCATAGCAATTCAATAAGGGATTATAGAAGCCATACCTTGGGATGTGTTTTTAAGTGGGTTAGAATAGGGACTCTTGCTGGTCTGTATATCTCCCTATGTGTCCTAGGGTTATAAGTACAGAGATATTTACCTTAAGTACTGGGTTTTGGACTAGCTACATGGTAATCAGTTGGGTAACTTTAAAAATAATACAGATTTGAAGACACAAGTCCCAGGGATTCTTATTCAATTGGCCTGAAGCAAAGCTTTAGAATCAGTGTTATTTATAAGTATCTTACTCAGTTTTAAGTTATGCCATGTTTGGGCAACAGTTTTTAAATCCATAAGCTACTTTACTTTTTCCTATAATACTTTTACATGAAAACATGAAGAAATAAAATAATAACTTCTGATGATGCCAAAATAAATGTCCCAGTGCTTTTGGCTGTTTGATTTTATCTTTTCAAAGAAAATGCTGTGGTAGGAAAACAGTAGGTTGTTTAGGAAGAAACAACTCAGGCAAACTTATGTAATTTGTCAAATATGTTTTAGGTACTCTTGGGCCCTATGGTTGCATAGGTGTCTGTACCAGTCAGGATAAATTAGGTTATACTGTAGAAATGAACAGACCCCAAATCTCAGTGGCTTAATATAGCAGTTTATTTACTACACATGCCACAGATCCACATGATCAATGGCAGCTTTGCTCCACAGCATTTTCCCTGGGGCTCAGGCTGACAGAGCAGCCTCTGTCTAGGACATGGCTGGTGATTGTGGAGGAATAGCAAAGAAGGCATGGTGAGCCATATGCAGGCTCTTAAAGCTTCTGCCCAGGGAAGGTCCCACAGCCATGCCTGAATTCCATGGGGAAGAGTGTAGAATCAATCCCCCAGTAGGAGGGGATAGCAAACATTTGAAAATCAGAGTGCACCACATAATTCTCTTTAGAAAATGAACAGTGCTGATCTTAAACCAACAGAAAACAAGTATTTATTGAGTTCCTACCATGTTCCAGATACTGGGAATATAACTGTAATTGGGAAACACAAAATCCCTGAACTCTTGGGACTTTCATTGAAGGGGTGGGAGGAGGAATAAAACAAATATTTTTCTTTGAAGAAAAACAAAGCAGAATAGGAGACTAAGAGCGATGAGAGTGTTGGGAGTTCTATTTAGACAAAGTCATCAGGGAAGTGTCTTGTGAGATATTTGAGCATAAAATTGAGAGAAGAGAACGGACTCCATTCCAAGACCTGGGGGAGGAGACTTTGAGACGATGAGAGCAGCAATTGCAAAGGGCCTACAGCAGGAATGTGTGTGGCCTGACAGGCACTACGAGAAGGTCAGAGTTAATAGATGCTTGCATTTCAAAACGGAAAAATAGGAAAGAAAACAGCAGTAAGAGGTCCCAAGTAAGTCCAAACAAGGCAAGCTCCATGAGATCTAAGGCTTAAGTACAGTCCTCTTTGACTTGATGCTCTGCCCTCCAGATCCAGGTGGGGCAAAGGTCCCACCTTCCAGACACTGGGGCAGAAGTTCCATCTTGTAGGCCCACTAGGAAAGCAGTCTTTCCCCTGAAGCTTTGGCAGGGCTGGGTGGGAACCCCAAGATGCTGGGCAACCCCACCCCCCATGGCTTTGAGCAGAGGCCGTCTGGCCTGTTGAAAGTGAGGTGATAGGCTCCCCTTTTGAAACCAAGGGGGTGGCCCTGATGATCTCTGAATTGCCTTCAGGGTTATTCTTTCCTTGTCTCGAAGAACAGTGCACATTCATAATCAAATAGTTCTAGGGCTCCATCTTGAGAAATTCCGGAAGACCAACAGTCTGGTCTCCCTTCATCTTTCCCATATCCTTCCTCCTCAGTTCAGACTGGCAGTTTTCCTACTGGGGTTGCTGATGAAATCCATGGTGCACACACAAACCAATCTCTTTATCAGAGAGATGCTTGGCCATATCCTTAGTGTTCTCTCCCAACACACTTTCTCAATTTTGCAATATGGGTAGGATGAGAAT